ACAGGTTAATAATGCCTTCCTGTTCCTTCACTACACCGGCAGACTGTGTGACGTCCTCAGTGCTCAGAGAGATTAACTATTATTCTCTTCTTCATTTGAATGCTCTTTTCTTGTTTCTGTGGTATATCGGCAGCAAAACAAGTTAAAGCCATAGTTTATTTTGTATAAGAAAAGTTTATACTTTGTTAAAAAACATTGCTTTGTTGTGTAGTGGGTGTTAACTGGCATTTGGCTCATCATGCATATTAATAATCTAAAGAGGAAGTAAATCTCTTAACAGCCTGATATCCGTCTTCTGCTCATTGGTGACAGAGGAAAGGCATCTTTCAACACATCGTTCCTCCTTCACTGTGAGTAGAAACAGTTTATTGATGTAATGATTCTGTATGCCTTGGGATTGCTGTTAGTAATGAAAGGTGCTTTATAAATTGAATTTATTATTATTATTATTATACCTCCTGTGAACATTATTTAATCTGACATGTTTTATAGTCTCACAGAGATGAGAGGAGCAGCTATGAGTCTAACTGCAGCAGCGAGTGGATTAGTTGTCTTCCTGCTCTCTGTGTCAGGTACTGTACATCTACACTTACATTCATCACATGAACAGAGGGGATTCTGGGAAATGTGGGACTTGTAAAAGCAGGTCATTTGTAGAAATAAGTGGATCGGGGTTGGATGAAATGCAAACTTTCCAAAGATATTCCAAATATATGTTTTGTGTAGCTTTGTTGAAACACTTAGATGTTACCACGTTTTTAATTGTAATGAATATTCGTAAAAAGATCTTTCCTGTGTTGGTCAACGTCATTTGCACTTATCTTTTGCTTAAAGTAACTGTGTGCCCAGAACATTTACACGCTGTAAACTGAGGATATTGTTCCCTCCTCACCCTGTGAAAACCTTTGCTTTGTTTTATTTCTAAGATGACCCTGGTTAAAAAAATGATTTGTTGTTTTTTATTAAGTTTTAGTGTTTTCGAGGGATATGTTCTCATAAGTCATTACATACTGTCTCAACTTCTCTCATGTCGCCATACCTCTGCACCAAACCCTTCTAGTTCTTTCTCTCCTCTCTGACCTCAGTGTTATATTCACACTCTGAGTTTAAAGCAGTCTTCTTCTTTTTCTTATCTGTATATCAGACAGAAGCTGCTCACACCTCAGTGTTCTGCATTTATTGTTATTTTCACACTCAACTCATCAACAAACTGACCACAGAGCGAACAGAGAGGGAACTGGACAAGAGAGTCCCACACTTTTCTAATTCTTCCAATCTTTGACATCACTGACGTTGAAAAACTGAGCTAATAGTTTGTTTTTGGACCTGGTACAATTTGGATATGATGCTAAAATAAGTCATAAAGTATAATTGCATCAGGTATGAAGTGCCTAAGAAGGAATTGAGAGAGGTTAATGTGCTCTTCTGCTCTTTCCCAGAAAAGTGTGTAAAGTGTAACTTCATAATTATTTGTTGACTCATAAACGTCTCCTTTTAAGCTATTTGAAAACACTTTGTTCATTATATAGACCAACCTTAAAAGAAGGATATATTCTCTTAACAATCATAAATATGATAAACACCTAATACAAATCTATATTCAGTCCTCGTTAGATACTGTAGATGCATGATTATAATCTTTTTCTGATGATCGGGGATCTTGACGATTGCCCAGCTTAGATTTCCTGATATGATACAAATATTCTTGTTAACTAATTGTTAACTTAAGTCATTAACTTTGATTCTAGTTTCTGATGTGCTCTGTGTTTCAGTGGTTCAGGGTCAGAATGACTGGGGAGTGACTTACTCTTCTACTAAGATCTGTGCAGTGAAAGGATCAACAGTGGAGATAAGATGCAACATCACATACCCATCTCCATGGAGAGGCAGTGTTAACACATTAGAGAAAACATTCTGGTTCACTAAATGGAGAGATGGTGAACCTGTAGATCTGACCACAGACTCAGAGTATTCAGGTCGTGTAGAGGATCTCTGTGAAAACAACATCTGCACTCTGAGAATCAAAAACCTGAGAGAGAGCGACTCAGCTGTGTACAGGTTCAGGTTTGAAACCAACCAAGCAGGAGGAGAATATGGTGGTTGGACTGGCGTCACTTTGTCCGTCTCAAGTAACAATTTTTAATGATATGTTAATTATTTATTAATGTCTTGGATATAATAATAATAATAATAATAATAATATGCATGTGTTTTGAGAGTTTTTGTCTTAAATAACATGTATGTTCCTTCATAGATCCAGATCTCCAGGTCACATCACGCTACTGGCTGTATTGTCAGATCAGTTGTCATCAATCTTCTAATCCTTCCTACATCTGGTACAAGAACGGACAAATAATCCAGGGAGAAACATCTCGTTATACAAGCAACACGAACAATGCAGACAGTTATTCCTGTGCTTTGAAGGGACATGAGGACTTTCCCTCTCCTCCAGTGTGTGAGTTTACTCCAAAGACTTCTATTAACACATAAACATCTAGTGGCGTTTTATATTGAACTCTATTGGTCATTTTTTACTCGTGTTCAAATTATTGCTGAAAAATACAAAGAAATACATGTTTTTATTTTTCAGGTGTCAGAGGTCAAAGCTGCAACAGAGTGACTTACACTGAGAGAAGCATCTGCGCCCCCAAAGGATCATCAGTGGACATTTCCTGTACGTACAGCAGCTTTACAGACAAACTTAAATCTAAATTCTGGTTCAGTCCTGAGCGTAGTCATCAGGGACAGAATCCCTCTCAACCTGAGGACCTTAGTGAAGACCCCCAGTATGCAGGTCGTGTTCAGATCCTTGAAACAGAGAGAGGACGCTCCACTCTGAGGATCTCTGACCTGAGAGACTCAGATTCAGCTCAGTATCGCTTCAAATTCAAAACACCAAGCTTTGAATGGAGGAGTGATTTACCTGGAACAACTCTGACTGTCACAGGTACTGATCAACACTCACTGATGTTCATTTTATTTTTATTTTTATGTATTTAACCTTTATTTAACCAAATAAAAGCATTGAGATAAAATCTCATTTACAATGCTGACCTGGCCAAGAAGGCAGCAACGTTACACGTCCTCACACGTAACACAGACATATAAAATACAGAGAAACTAAGTAAACAAAAGACGAAAAAGCAGTCACTACATTGTGCACATTAGGACAGTAAGAAAGGTACACTACTTATTACTGCAAGAGCAGCTGGTGGTGAGGACTTCAGACAACTTCAACTTAAAACAGGCTAGGACAAGTGCAGCATGGTAGAGTGGGTCAAGTTTGGCCAAAACAGTGAGACAGGCAAATCTATAGATTGTATCACCGTAGTCCAGCTGGGACAGGAATAAGCCAGAGACCAACCTTTTACGGGAATAAGTTGAAAAACAACGTTTAAGTCTGTAAAGGAAGCCAAGAGTGAATTTCAATTTCTTAAATCGAACTTCAATACAATCAATCAAATACACAGTACACCTACAACTACTGGAAAAGTAGATGTTTGTGTAATGACTATTGGATGAAGAGTTACTATTGCTCTTTATTTCCAAATAGCAATACACAGTTGTGTTAATGTGTATGTACATCTATTAAAAAAAGACCTTTTGCTATACTAATGTTTCTTGTTCTAACGTCCAGCTCTCCAGGTGCAGGTGATCAGAGCAAAGGTCTACAACTATTCTACTGAGGCAGAGCTGAAGTGTCACAGCAGCTGCAGTCCAGCTGGTTCTCTGAACTACGTCTGGTTCAAGAACGGAGAGAAAATCACGACGACGATGAAATCTTCTTATAAAGGCTTGATTCAGCCCAGAGACAACATCTCTTGTGCTTTGGAAGGACATGAAGACCTCCCCTCTCCTCCAGTGTGTGAGTTTACTTATAAATACACACTGACATTACAATACAATGACAAATTCAGACATACCGGAGTCACCGAGGTCTTCTGAAGTTCATTACATCAATTTAATTTTCATACAAGCGACTAACAATAAGTGCAGACAACCATAAAGATACAAACAACAAGTGTCCTACAAGAACACTAGCTTGCAATAAGCCAACATGTTAAGTGTTACAAGCGTTTACAAAATATGTCAAAGTAACTGTTCACAGTGTCTTTAACTGGCCAGTGCTCTCAACAAATATAAATATGACTATTCAAAAAGTACTCTGTGTTTTATGATGGAGAAAATGTTTGCTGTCCACGGCTGACGTTAAATCGAGGACTTCTTTCTGCGGATTGATATGACTGCACATAGTCCCTTGATCCTCCTTAACAGCAGTCATGTTATCCTTAGCAGCGTTCTGTTAGCGAGTATTAACAACCTCTGAAATGTCCAAATTCACCAATCAGAATGGAGTTTTCAACTAATAAAAGGAGAAGAATGTGTGGGGTCATTGATGTAGAAAAGATAAATAAAGACTTGTTATTGGCTGCCAGTTTCCAGGAATCTAACACAAGGATCTATATCACAATATATCAATAATACAGAAAAAAATGAAGTCAATCATGTGTGATAACATGTTTTAATATTTGAAATACTTTCCATTTCCATATCCTTTCCTCCAGATGCTCCAAAGCTTCCCTCTGTGTCAGTGAGTCCCTCTGCTGAGATAGAGGAGGGCAGTTCAGTGACTCTGACCTGTAGCAGTGATGCTAACCCAGCAGCTAACTACACCTGGTACAAGGAGGATGAAGACTCTCCAAAAGCTTCAGGACAGATCTTCAACATCACTGACTTCAGAGCTGAACACAGTGGGAGTTATTCCTGTGGAGCCCAGAACAAGTTAGGACGTAGTAACTCCACCTTACACCTGAGTGTTGGAACAGGTAAGTTCTCTACATTCACCAGAACTGATTCTATTTGTAATATGAAACAACCCAAGCATATTCAAAATGTCAGTGTTCAGGGAGGAACCTCCATGGTGTCAGAGGTGGATCACACTGACAATGTGATTTATCAATCTGTAGTTAGAAGTATCACATATGTATTCATGTTTCTAGGGAGTTCAACAATGATAGTGAATATCATCAGGACGACTCTGGGGGTCTTGATCCTGATTCTTGTGTTTCTCCTGAGTCTGTGGATGAGGTACAACAATAGAAATTCATCAGTTTAAACATCCTTCTTACATGTTTTAGTTTACTGTTATGAAATAAAATCTGTATTTGTTGTTCCCCTTAATCCAGGAAGAAGAAAGCTCTGCGCTCCACCACTGAAGCACCTGAACCTGAAGAGATCGAGGTGAGAGAGAGCGGACCTATTGACAACATTTCCCCTTCGTCAAAGCTATACTGTGACTCATAAATGCAATGTGAAGAGAACTTGTGATTAAAGACAACTTCCTGAGTTGAAACCAGTAATGAATTTAGCCAAGAAATAATTAGCATCAACTTTAAAATATGAAAAATGTTTTATAAAATCTTAAAGTATATGCAGGTTTCATGAATGAGGATCTAATTGTGTCTTCTCTCTCTTCATCAGTTGGACTCTGATCCTGAGTATGAGAACGACTCAGACACTGCAGCACAGACAGAAGACACAGAGGAGCAGGAAGACCTGGTGTGAAGTCCAGTCAGGTTAGAGCCTCCTGCATCAGATCAAACAGGCCCACTCCACATTTAGAGTCACAGTTCCAGCTGTAACTTTACACAAAGTTTCTGTGATTTTCTTCAGACGCTCACCTGATGGAAACAAAGAAGAAGGACGTTGAAATGTCCCTGTGGAGAGCGAGGCTGTGCAGGATGTGTGTGAAGTGGACATATTAATGTTCAACTCTTAAAGCTTGTACTGTCAGTTTTCAGTAGCAGCAGCTTGTAGGTTTAGAAGAATGAGCTGCTGGCAGCTTGAAGTGAATCATGTTGAGGTGTCAAACATGATTTATCGTTAAGACCAGCTGATGGTCAGGTGCTCTATATTACTGCTTCAACTATGTGTACATGCTTATTTGTTATATGCAGAGTTGTTGATATTACAAAAGTCTCGTCAAATTGTTTTTTTAAATTCCACATAATAAATAACTTTAAAAAATCCTCATCAGTGTCTTGGTTAATAACTATCCTGCTGACAGAGACAATGAAGTCTATTTAAAACAGAGAGAGCCAAAAAACATCACATTTCACTCCATGTACAGTTTAGATTTTCACACCATGAAACATGAGATCAATAGTGGAATTCAAATATAATATTAAAATAATAGATAAAAGGCACACATAAGAAAAGATAAAAGGATAAAAGGCACACATAATAATGAATACACGGTACATAAAGGCTTTGGACAATAAAAGCATACAAATCGATAAAACAGACTGACTCGAAAGCGAGGGAAAAGAGGTGGGTCTTTAGGCGGGACTTAAAAGTTTGGACAGACTCAGTACTGTGAAGCGCTTTAAAACCGGACAGAAAAAGATCAAAAATATTGTGTTCTTGTATAAAAGACTGCAGCTGTAAGAGTCCGGTTTTCTCCAATATGTTTGAGATAAAAGGAAGCTTAGAGATGGGTCTGTAATTTGAGAAGACAGAAGTGTCCAGATTTGTTTTTTTTATCAGGGGTGCCACAACCGCTTGTTTGAAATAAACTGGCACAGAACCGGACTCTAGGCTGCTATTTCAAGGTTCAAGGTTCAAGGTTCAAGGTTCTTTATTGTCAAATAGCTACAGAGTAATTATGTCGTTGAAAATCTTATGTCACAGGCTTCTCCAACAATGCAACATAATAATAATACAGATAGTAAAAGTAATACAAAAAGAAAAATAGTTCTAAAATAAAGTGAGTATGTGGAATAGTGCAGTACGAGTCTATATACAAGTTATTGGAATGATATATATTAGATATTAGATACATATTACTAAGTAGCAGATAAATGTTTTGAAGTTGTTTCAACAGTTCAATTGTTTAACAGTCTCACTGCCCGCAGGAAGAAACTGTCTCCGAATCTTCTTGTCCTTGCCAGGATGCTGCGGTAACGTCTGCCAGACGGCAACAGAAAGAACAGTTTGTGGCTGGGGTGATGGGGGTCTTTGATAATCCGTAGTGATTTCTTCCTGAGCCGCTGGGAGTAAAGGTCCTCCATGGATGGCAGCTCCGTCCTGGTGATGTTCTGTGCAGTTTTCACCACCCTCTGTAAAGCCTTACGATTGAGGGTGGAGCAGCTGCCGTACCAGGCCGTGATGCAGCCAGTCAGGATACTCTCTATGGAGCACATGTAGAAGTTGCAGAGTATCCTGGAATTCATTTTGAACCTCCTCAGCCTGCGGAGGAAGAAGAGCCGCTGTCGAGCTTTCTTGGTGATGGTGGTGGTGTGAAGAGTCCATGTCAGGTCCTCAGTGATGTGGACCCCAAGGAACCTGAAGCTTTTGACTCTCTCCACCGTATTCCCATTGATGGCGATGGGGGCGTGTCCCTCTCCCTGCTGCTTCCTGTAATCCACAATCAGCTCCTTTGTTTTGCTGATGTTGAGATGGAGGTTGTTCTCCTGGCACCAAGATGTCAGGTTTTCGACCTCCTCTCTGTACGCCGTCTCGTCATCGTCTGTGATCTGGCCGATGGCGGTCGTGTCATCAGAAAACTTCACGATGGTGTTGGAGCTGTGTGTGGCCACGCAGTCGTGAGTGAACAGGGAGTAGAGGAGAGGGCTGAGCACGCAGCCTTGAGGGGCACCGGTGTTGAGAATCAGGGTGGAGGATGTGATGTTTCCCACCCGCACTGCCTGGGGTCTGCCCGTCAGGAAGTTCAGGATCCAGTCACAGAGGGCGCTGTTGAGCCCGAGCTCTCTGAGCTTGGTATTGAATGCTGAACTGTAGTCAATGAACAGCATTCTCACATATGTGTTCCTGTTCTTCGGGTCCAGGTGTGAGAGGGCAGTGTGGATGGTGAGGGCTATGGCGTCGTCTGTGGACCTGTTTGCTCTGTAGGCAAACTGCAGGGGGTCCAGAGATTCAGGGAGGGAGGAGGTGATGAATAATTTGACTAACCGCTCAAAGCACTTCATTATGATGGAGGTGAGTGCTACTGGGCGGTAGTCGTTGGGGCAGGTGATTATTGTCTTTTTGGGGACAGGAACGATAGTGGAGTGTTTAAGACATGTGGGGACTACAGACTGCAGCAGGGACCTGTTGAAGATGTCTGTGAACACCTCTGCCAGCTGAACTGCACACACCCTGAGAACACGGCCAGGGATGCCATCAGGTCCAGGAGCCTTGTGTGGGTTAACCCTTTTAAAGGATTTACACACATCTGCCCTGTTTAAAACAAAAGGGCAGGGCTCTGGCTCCTGGTCCCTCTGTACCTCCACAGCCTGGCTGCTCTCAAAGCGTGCAAAAAAACTGTTCAGCTCATCTGGGAGAGATGCGCACGCAGACAATTTATAATTGTATGGACATTAGATCCAATAGTGTCCCATATCTCTTTAAAAAGTCGAGGAGGGACTGGGTCTGTGGGACGAGATGAGGGTTTTAATTCAGCAACAATGTCACTGAGAGATGACAACGACACAGGTCCAAACTGCTGGAAGACAGCAGTGCATGTGATGTCAATGGAGGGGTCAAAAGAGGGTGGTGAGATACTGGCTCTAATAGTGGAGATCTTGTCTATAAAATAGCAGAGAAATGTTTCACACACCTCAGTTGAAGCTTCAATACAAGTGGATAAAGGAGAGTTTAACATAGCATCAATGGTTTTAAAAAGAACTCAAGGTTTGTTTAAGTTACTAGAAATAATATCAGAAAAGTAACTAATCTTTTCAGCCTTTACAATGCTCTGATACTTTCTCCAACTCTCTTTTAAAATGTCATGAGTTACATGAAGCTTGTCCTTCTTCCACCTGTGCTCAGCCTGCCGGCAATCACGCCTGGCAGCACGAGTGACGTCATTGAGCCAGGGTTCAGATTTAGCTCTGGGGCGCATGAGTTTCAGGGGAGCAACAATGTCAAGAGCTCCAGTGCAGGTAGAGAGAAAGGCTGAGGTTAATTGCTCAGTGTCCAGGGAGTCAGAGGACATAGGGTGTTTCTCAATCGCGAGTACGCTTGCTTGGTAGCACATGTCTGCCGAGCATCTTGCTTCAGAAGCGAGTCAAGAATACTTCCTGGCATTCGGAAAACGAAGTGTGGAACACGCTAGCAAGTGTGCAGGTGTGCGTCATATGAGAGGCCCCGCCTTACATCTTCCGCCACAGATTTGGGGAAATTGGTCCGTGCGCAAAGCATTGTGGGGATTTTAAGACCGCGAAGTCTACTCATGTGCAGACTCGATATTTCTCCAAACGGAGTACGCCGGGCTCGGTAGATTTCCAAGTATACTGGAGATTGGAACAGTACTTCGGCGGCACTCGATGACATAGGATGCTTGAAATAGTGGCTCTGAAGCAGCTTTACTCGCGATTGAGAAACACCCATAGTATCAGACTGGGCGGGCTAGGTTTACAAATGTCATCTACTAAACATGGTCAGTACCCCTGTAACTTGACCACAGGTGTAGTCAAGTTGGAGTCATATGTGTCTCATTGGTAGCCAAAAATGAGGAGAGAATATAGTATAGAATATACAGAGCACTTCTATAAGGAAAGTTCACTACTAAACCCAGCACTCCTATATCCTGCATGTATTACAGTAGGTCCTCCAGACCAGCCTTACCCCTTCCTCTTACGTTTCCTCAGTGCTCAATGAACAACAATACCTGTAATAAAAGTTGAACTGACATATTGTTGAGGAGTGGTCCATGCTGGAGAAAAGTCCATTTTGAAAAGCTTGTGCAACGCCCTGATTATGAGTCCTTATTCCAGTAAAACACGTTTTAAAGAGTTGCTCTCCAATGTGTCAAAGATGTTGGTCCTCGTTGTGAAGTGTAAGTCTAATATACAGTAAATTACCTCTAATGTTAAAAGACTAAAATGGCAATAGGTTTCACTCATTTAATCTTTAAAAACTAAATATGCATTTACATTTGTCAAAACAATCACTGATGGATGTTAGAATGTGTCTCAGGGTCCTGATTCAGTATCTGATGTGTCACTGTCCTCTAGTGGAGGATCTTAAGTGAGACACATTCAGGCTTCATCACTCAGAGAGCTCCCTCCACCGTCTGCTTTAAAGGGTCAGTTCACCCAAACTAAAACACTTATTTCCCCCTTTGTGACGGTCTGTCTGTTTTCCTGTTTCATTTTCAAAAGTGTTCACCCCCTGTCTTATGTCTGTGTCTGCTTCCTGTCTCTGTGTTTTCCCTCCTTTTTGATTTTTGATTCTGTTCACCGGGTACCATTGTGTTTTTCCTGCCTGTCTAGCTCTGTCTTGTTCTTTGATTCGTTATGCATGTATTTAAGTTCTGTTTTTTCTGTTTGTTTTGTGGGTTCTTTGAGATTACTAAGGAGTGATTTCTGGTTTGTACGCTGTATATCAAGACAACCTTCAACAAAGGTCCTTTTCTGTGTCGAGACCTTCTCTGCCTCTGCCTTACCCTCGGGTCATCCACCTCCTATGTAAGCAGTCAGTAGTATATAAGAAGCAGTCAGTAGTATATAAGCACCAAATGTGTCTTTAACCATACTGTAGTTTTCTTTTTCAAGAAAAGTTGATATTTTGTTAAAAAACATTACTTTATTGTGTAGTGGGTGTTAACTGCATGGCATTTGGCTCATCATGCATATTAATAATCTAAAGAGGAAGTAAATCTAGTCTTTTAACAGCCTGATATCCGTCTTCTGCTCATTGTTACAGAGGAAAGGCATCTGTGAACACATCGTTCCTCTTTCACTGTAAGTAGAAACAGTTTATTAATATGACTGATTCTGTTTAACCCGTGTGAACATTATTTAATCTGACATGTTTTATAGTCTCACAGAGATGAGAGGAGCAGCTATGAGTCTAACTGCAGCAGCGAGTGGATTAGTTGTCTTCCTGCTCTCTGTGTCAGGTACTGTACATCTACACTTACATTCATCACATGAACAGAGGGGATTCTGGGAAAAGGTGGGACTTGTAAAATCAGGTCACATGTGGGAATAAGTGGGATGGATTTGTGTAAAAGGCAAACCTAGCAGAAACATTTTAAATGTAATTGTGTAGAATTGTAGAAACTCAAAGACGTTACTAGTTTTTTTGGTGGATATTCTGAAGATCTTGTCGTGCGTTGCCACTGTCCTTTGCTCCAATCATCTGCATCAAATATCAGTTTGCTTATCACTTTTACAAGCGTTAAAATGAGAATATAGTGTATGCATAACTGTTCCATCCTCTCTCTGTGAAAACATTTAGCTTTGTTTTTTTCTAAAGACGACTTAAAGAATCGCCAGCTTTGTTTGTATAAAGTTTAAGTGATTTAGAGAGATATTCTTATTCTAAGTCATAACATATTGACTCAACTCTTATGGATCATACATCTGCACCAAACCCTGCTAGATTCTTCTCTACTCTCTGACCTCAGTGTTATATTCCCACACTCTGAGTTTAAAGCAGTCTTCTTCTTTTTCTCATCTGTATATCAGACAGAAGCTGCTCTCACCTCAGTGTTCTGCATTTATTTTTATTTTTCACACTTACCTCAGCAGCAACCTGACCACAGAGCGAACAGAGAGGAAACTGTACCAGAAAAGCAAAGACCTGTATAATTAATAGTATTCCTAATATTTTAACCTCTTAAGCCCTGAGCCTGTTTTTCAGGTCTCAGGCTCGAAAATGACATTCCCAGAACAAATGACCATATCTTCACTTCTAAAAGGGTTAAATTAATAATCTTTATTCTCAAAGTAATGATAAACCTGTGAGTTGGATGTAGAAAAGTCAGAATCAATATAGATGTTTTTTATTTTAAAGAAAATTCAGATTGAACATAGTAAAAAACTGTAAATTATAGTGTCCGTCCAAAAATTATTTTATACTTATAGTGAAAACTACCCTTGGATGATGGTAAGGTAGACTAAAAGCTTTAGGAATCCAAAGTACAACATATAATAAGTACCCTGTATCAAGATTGATGCAAAACAAGTGAAACTTGACCTTTTTAGAGAGATTTAGCCAAAAAAACCCACTTCTGGGGTCATTTGGGTGGATTTGACCTATCTCTGGCCCCCCTTGGTCGATTTTGATGAATGAAATCTCTTTATAACCGCTAGATCCAATGGAATCGAGGGAAAGTTCTATACACACCAACACGTTAACAAATAAGGAGTGAGAGTGACGCGTGACCATAACCGGAAGCTGCATATTAGCAGCTAACTTTTTCTCTCCAATTTTTACATAAAAATGGAATTATGGATTATAAATCATTTTTTAAAAGGCACAGGTACATTACCAACCTATGGATCAACAGTTGAAGCCGCGTTTTTTTTCGTTTTAATGCCATTGAACACTTCTTTTGATCAGATTGACAGCTACGGTGAGACGATCTCCCGTAAAAGCTCCGTAAAGGTACGCGTTGTGATGTCTGTGTTTGCTTCCCCTGTCGCGAGTTCGGATCGCTCAGTGAGGATACTATAACTATATAATCTGTGGAGTCTCAGCTTTAATCGGATATATTGTATGTGCAGCTACGATAAGTAATAAGGGTATCTTTATCTTGAGTTGTGTGCTAAAGTGTGTTAGCATTTTTTGGCTTAGTGCTAATTCAGAGGCTTGGTATTACCCTTTTGTTTTGGTAAAAATGGTTCATATCTTCAGTTAGCTGAGATTCTTCCCGTTAATCTGGTGCTAAACATTAATAGATTCATAAATGTTAAGAAGCCCTGAGACACAGTCTCGAAAAAAAACGGTGGGGGGGGTCCACTGGGGGGACCGTCGTCCTTAACCTGTTAAGCCCTGAACCTGTTTTTCAGGTCTCAGGCTCGAAAATGACATTCCCAGAACAAATGACCATATCTTCACTTCTAAAAGGGGTAAATTAATAATCTTTTTTCTCTAAATGATAGTGTCCGTACAAAAATTGGATTAACCATTGGATTAACCTTCAGCAGCGTTTTTATCGTTTTAACGCCATTGAACACGACTTTTGATCAGAATAACAGCTAAAGTGAGACAATCTCCCGTGAATGCTCCATAAAGCTACGTGTTGTGATGTCTGTGTTGTGATGTCTGTCGTGAGTTCTGATCGCTCAGTGATGATACTGATATTTCTGGAATCTGTGGAATCTCAGTTTCCTAATCGCTGGATTGGATGTGCAGTTACAATAAGTAATAAGGCTATTTATACCGTCAGTTCTGTGCTAACTGTGTTAGTATTTTTTCGCTCAGGGCTTATTTAGACGCTTCTTTTGCGACTTGTGCTTTATTAATATCTTCAGTTAGCTGAGTTTCTAACCGTTAAGTGAGTATGACACATTAATAGGTTTTTAAATATTAAGAAGCCCTGAGACACAGTTTTGTGAAAAAACTACCCGCCAGACCCGGATTAGGGTCCTCTCGGGTTTAACAGGTTAAGAGGTTAATGTTCATGCTGGCATGTTGACTGCTTGTGTTTGGACTTCTGTTCTACCCGGTTTAATTCAGAAACAACAAAGTCATACATTTGTATTTGCAGCAGTTATAAACTGCCTTAACCTGTTACGAACCTTCCGCCCGGTACCGGGCGGATAAACGCGTCATTTGCAGGAAACAACGTCTAAGGAATCTTAATATTGAATAAAACTATGAATGTGTTATATCCATGTAACGGGAAGAAATTCAGCTAACTGATCTTTTTAATTTTTTTTTTCAAAAAAAACCCACAATGCTAGCACTCAGCCTCTGAATTAGCCAACAGCGAAAAAATATAACCCATCTCTGCACCTAAACTCACTCTAACTCCCTTATTACTTATCCTAGATGCACAACCAACCACTCGTTTTTGGTGTCCTGGAGACACTGAATCTACCGGTGCCCTCCTCAACACTCAGTGATAAACATTCGCGACGCTATAAACGAAAGCGTACATCATAACATGTCGAGCTAAGTAGCAAGAAACGCTAACATGGCTTACCTTGGTCAAAACTGGTCTTCAATGGCATTTAAACGATAAAAAAACGATACTGCAGTTAATCCATAGGTTCATCCTATGTATCTGTGCCTTCTTTGAAATTATTTCTGATAATCCATAAGCAATAAAACGGCTTTTTAATTTCCAAACTCCAGAAGGACAAAATCTGCAAAAATAGTTTCATTTCTAGACGCGTAGCCCACACCTTTTCTCTTTACAATGAGTGTGTGAGTGGGCCTCCCCCTTCGATTCTATTGGCTCTAACGGTCAGAAAGGTGTGTCAACGATCCCAATCGAGTAAGGGGGGCCAGAGATAGGTCAAATCCACCCAAATGACCCCAGAAGTGGGGGTTTTTGGCTAAATCTCTCTAAAAAGGTCAAATTTCACTTGTTTTGCATCAATCTTGATACAGGGTACTTATTATATGTTGTACTTTGGATTCCTAAAGCTTTTAGTCTACTAACCCATCATCCAAGGGTAGTTTTCACTATCTGTAAAGAATAATTTTTGGACGGACACTATAATTTACAGTTTTTTACTATGTAAAATCTGAATTTTCTTTAAAATAAAAAACATTTATATTGATTCTGACACTTCTACATCCAACTCACAGATGTAACCTTGCTTTGATAAAAGAAATTATTCATATAACCCTTTTAGAAGTTAAGTTGTAGTCATTTGTTTTGGGAATGTCATTTTCGAGCCTGAAACATGAAAAACAGGCTCGGTGCTTAACAGGTTAAAAGGAATTATAAAACGGATAAGTCAAATCAAGCAATCTGATTGGTTCTTAGCCGTGAGAGAATGAGCGTATATTACGGGTAGAATTGTAGTTATTTTTCACAAGTCAGTATCCCTCCGCGTCTGAGAGAAAGCTATAACCCATCCTCTCCACCTGCAGCTGGACAGTCAACGGAGCTCCTTCTCCAACAGAATGCTGCAGCTCCCCTGTCACAAGGACAGATACTGGAAAACATTCCTGCCCACTGCAATAACACTGTACAACAAATCACCTCTGGCTGGAAGAGAACTCTCTGCTCCATAGTTTCTCTAGAAATAAAACCACCTTGTACATTTTACTCACACATAATCTGTTTCATATTTAATACTCCATAATTCCATATATGTTGAATATATATATATTTGTATATATATATATATATATATATATATATAATATCTGTATGTATATTTTCTATTTTGTATTTTGACATGTATATTTTATATTTTATTTTATATTTTATTTTATTTTATTTCTATTCTTGTATATTTTGTTTTATTGTAAAATGCCTTTTATGCTGCTGTAACAAAAACAATTTCCCAATTTGGGATCAATAAAGTACGATCTATCTATCTATCTATCTATAACCGTTAACTGTCACATTAAGTCCGTTACGAAACTAACTAACTAACAAAGCTTAAGATGGAAACATTTATGGTTAACTTCGACCTCCGGGGTGGCCTTACTATGGAGGAATGGATTGAGCAGTGCCTATCTCACCTAAACTACGAAATGCAGAGCTACGTGAAGAGCAAGTAGACCAACTGACCTCAGCCTAGTACAGTAACCTCATAAGCCATTCTACTGAAGCTGGACAGTTTTTCAGTGGGTGCACAATAAACGGCATCATACAAATTAATGTAAATAAATAGCCAAATAATCGATCAACGCTGTCTGTCTAATATGTTCGCTAGCTGTTAGTGTTGTTGCATAGCGACCACCTCGCACTATGTTTTGTGCAGAAGGCAGCAGACGGACTATTATGATCAAGATCCCTCCGCTTCGCGTCGGGCTCCTGATCAGCCTGTCGGGTGTTCTTTTACCCATAATGACCGTGTCACTGCACATTATCCCTTATTAACTTTGATTGTGGTTTCTGTTGTGCTCTGTGTTACAGTGGTTCAGGGTCAGAATGGCTGGGGAGTGACTTACTCTTTTACTGAGATCTGTGCAGTGAAAGGATCAACAGTGGAGATAAGATGCAGCTACACACACCCATCTCCATGGAGAGGCAGTGTAAACACAGTAGAGAAAACGTTCTGGTTATTTAAAAAAAAATGGGGTACATTTGAGGATCTGTTCACAGAATCAGAGTATTCAGGTCGTGTAGAGGATCTCTGTGAAAACAACACCTGCACTCTGAGAATCAAAAACCTGAGAGAGAGCGACTCAGCTGAGTACAAGTTCAGGATCAAAACAAACCAACCAGATGGAAAATATGATGGTTCGACTGGCGTCACTTTGTCCGTCTCAAGTAACAATTTTCAATTATATGTTAATTATTTCTTAATATCTTGGATATAATAATAGTAATATGCATGTGTTTTGATAGTTTTTCTTAAATAACATGTATGTTCCTTCACAAATCCAGATCTCCAGGTCACATCAGATAAAAACTGGCTGTTTTGTCAGAACAGTTGTCATCAATCTTATTATCCGTCCTACATCTGGAACAAGAACGGACAAATAATTCAGGGAGAAACATCTTATTATACAAGCAACCCGAACAAGGCAGACAGTTATTCCTGTGCTTTGAAGGGACATGAGGACTTTCCCTCTCCTCCAGTGTGTGAGTTGACTCCAAAAACTTCTATTAAAATATAAACTAGTGGCGTTTTTCATTTAACTCTATTGGTCATTTTTTACTCCTGTTCAAATTACTGCTGAAAAATAGAACAAATGATATGTTTTTATTTTTCAGGTGTCAGAGGTCAAACCTGCAACAGAGTAATTTACACTGAGATAAGCATCTGCGCCTTCAAAGGATCATCAGTGGACTTGTCCTGCACGTACAGCAGCTTTGAAAACGATGTTAAATCTAAATTCTGGTTCAGACCTGAGCGTATTCATCAGGGACAGAATTCCTCTCAACCTGAGGACCTTAGTGAAGACTCCCAGTATGCAGGTCGTGTTCAGATCCTTGAAACAGAGAGAGGATGCTCCACTCTGAGGATCTCTGACCTGAGAGACTCAGATTCAGCTCAGTATCTCTTCAAATTCAAAACACCAAGCTTTGAATGGAGGAGTGATTTACCTGGTACAACTCTGACTGTCACAGGTACTGATCAACCAACCCAGTCTCACGGCATTTCGTGAGACCATTGCTCCCTGGGCGCTGTACAATAGCTGCCCACTGCTCCTAGTACTAGACTCCAGGTACTAGGATGGGTTAAAAGCAGAGAACACATTTCACTGTGTGTGCTGTGTGCTTTAATGTGTGACAATTAAAGAGGGTTTCATCCCTCCCAATTCTATTCAATTCTATTCTAGTCACGACATTTAATCTATTGATTCGTGTTCACCAACACGATTTTCCCCTTTTTTCGTGTCACACAGAACGATTTTAAAAGCAATGTATTGGTAGTGTGTTTCGTGCCGGCAACACGTCTTTTTGTCTGGTCGGGTCTTGGAAGACCGGAAGCTGTGTGGTTCATGAAAACATGTTCTTACTCAATATCAAGCCACGATTATTGTTTTTATTTTAAAACGTATAATGTCTGACTTTTTTGCCGTCAGCGAGGAAAATAACTATAAAACCCTGACTATTCTTTCAACTCAGTATTTATATTCTTATATTCAAAGAAAATCAGTAATATCTTTAAAAACTACAAGTCCTTTTATATCAGCTGTGCACCGTTATGGTGTAAATATAACCTATCTACCAATTGGATCAAATATAAAAGTCAGCCGAATTAATGTTGATACTGCATGGAGACGTATTGTGTGAAGAGAAATTGAAGATGTTGTTTAATTGTTGATATATTTATGATCCACGTCACGTATTCAGTTTCGGTGGCAGTTCTAATCAGGGCTCTATAAATAGAGAACTACGGCAGATGTGTAATATTTAATGCAGCCGAATCGTGTATTACAATGCCGTTATGTGATGACTTCCAAAGAGAAAAGCAAGCACACTCGGATTAAAGTATTATTTTCTTTTTTTTGTAATGTTTTTCGGATTTCCTATCGCATAAACACCATATCCCAACGTGCATTGCGGCTAAACAATCCAATCACCGAGCTACAACCATAGCTGAGGATCTTGGGTAATCAGTTCAGTGTGTATCTGTTTCCGGTTATTTTATTTTGAAATTCAGTTCCTGACGGATGCCAAAAAAGCCTGAGATTATAGAATTAAACAAATAAATAAAACAAGGATAATGTGTGTTATTGTTGAGTAAATAACAGTGTGTTATTTAGAAACTAATAACAAATTAGAAAGAAAAAAAGATTTAAAAAATACAGATTTCAGTATTCTGAGGCTCTGAGCCCCATTTATTTTCCTCACGGACGGCAAAAAAAGTCCGACATTATACGATTTAAAATAAAAACAATAATCGTGGCTTGATATTGAGTAAGAACATGTTTTCATGAACCACACAGCTTCCGGTCTTCCAAGACCCGACCGGACAAAAAGGCGTGTTGCAGGCACGAAGCACACTACCAATAGAAATACATTGCTTTTAAAATCGTTCTGTGTGACACGAAAAAAGGGGAAAATCGTGTTGGTGAACACGAATCAATAGATTCAATGTCGTGACTATAACACGAAATTCCGTGAGACTGGGTTGGATCAACACACACTGATGTAAATACACCAGGACAATACAGTTAAAAATACTAAATGTTGATAATGATAAATCAGTTTGTGTAATTTATGTTTGATGAATAGTTACTGTTGTTTTTCTCTATTTCTACATTTATCATAATTTTTTTCTTTTGCTTTATTGAAAGGTGCTATATAAATAAACTTGCCTTCCCTTACCTTATTATTGTTTCTTGTTCTAACGTCCAGCTCTCCAGGTGCAGGTGATCAGAGCAAAGGTCTACAACTATTCTATTGAGGCAGAGCTGAAGTGTCACAGCAGCTGCAGTCCAGCTGGTTCTCTGAACTACGTCTGGTTCAAGAACGGAGAGAAAATCATGACGGCCGTGATATCTTCTTATAAAGGCTTGTTTCATCACAGAGACAACATCTCTTGTGCTTTGGAAGGACATGAAGACTTCCCCTCTCCTGCAGTGTGTGAGTTTACTGACATTACAATACAATGACAAATTCAGACATACTGGAGTCACCGGGGTCTTCTGAAGTTCATAACATCAATTTCATTTTCATATAAGCGACTAACAATAAATGCAGACAACCATAAAGATACAAACAAGTATCTTACAAGAACATTAGCTTGCAATAAGCCAACATGTTAAGTGTTTACAAAATATGTCAAAGTAACTGTTCACAGTGTCTTTCAAACTGGCCAGTGCTCTCAACAAATATAAATATGACTATTCAAAAAGTATCCTGTGTTTTATGATGGAGAAAATGTTTGCTGTCCACGGCTGACGTTAAATCAAGGACTTCTTTCTGTGGATTGATATGACTGCACATAGTCCCTTGATCCTCCTTAACAGCAGTCATGTTATCCTTAGCAGCGTTCTGTTAGCGAGTATTAACAGCCTCTGAAATGTCCAAATTCACCAATCAGAATCAAGTATTCAACTAAGCCTTGTAATAAAAGGAGAAGAATGTGTGGGGTCATTGATGTAAAAAAGATAAATAAAGACTTGTTATTGGCTGCCAGTTTCCAGGAATCTAACACAAGGATCTATATCACAATATATAAATAATAAAGACAAAACTCAATTCAATCATGTGTGATAACATGTTTTAATATTTGAAATACTTTTTCATTTCCATACCCTTTTTCTAGATGGTCCAAAGCTCCCCTCTGTGTCAGTGAGTCCCTCTGCTGAGATAGAGGAGGGCAGTTCAGTGACTCTGACCTGTAGCAGTGATGCTAACCCAGCAGCTAACTACACCTGGTACAAGGAGGATGAAGACTCTCCAAAAGCTTCAGGACAGATCTTCACCATCACTGACTTCAGAGCTGAACACAGTGGGAGTTATTCCTGTGGAGCCCAGAACAAGTTAGGACGTAGTAACTCCACCTTACATCAGATTGTTGTGGCAGGTACGTTTTATGCATTCATCCACTACCAGACACTTATAAGCTTGTTTATTTCAGTCACATTATCTGCATGGTAGTCAGATTTTCAATGTCATTCTTGGATCAGGTTCATAATGTTTTCATTAAATTCAGCTTGTTTGTTTTCAGTCACATTGTCTGGGTAGGAGGCTGAAAAAGGAGTGTGTGTTCAAATGTACCTTTCCGGTTCGGGATAGGGGTTGTTTTCTTTCTTTTACATAAGGGAATAATTATCCTGAGGGTCCAGATTCAGTATGGGGTGCAGTCATTCCCTGTGCACTCAAGCGTGAGAGTTGTGTCTGTTTTGTGAAGCTTATGCCAAGTGCAAGTGCCCACAGGCTGAGAGATATTCCATCGGTATTGAGAAGGAAATAATAAGGAAATAATGAATCACCTGTTCATCACAAAACTAACAATATCATGAATGTATTTGCATTTGTTTCAGCTTCTTGAACATTGGACAAGTATTCTTTTATTAACATTACTTTTAAAACAAATTATGGTATATTTTTTTAGGAATAGGAAGGTTGAAAATATAGTCTTACACTGCTCCTAGTACCAGGATGGGTTAAAAGCAGAGAACAGATGTCACTGTGTGCGCTGTGTGCTCTGCATGTGTGACAGAGGGTTTCATCCCTGCAATTCTATTCTATTATTATCTATTATATTACACACACCCTGTAATACTCCAAAGTGCCCCTAGGGGTCCTTGTATCCATATTTGGTAAACACCGCTGTATTAACCATCTGTTCTCTGTTGATTACTGTTTCTCAGGATCATGGAAGCAACTACCTTTTGTATCAATCCCTGTTGTTCTCCTGGCTGTCATTTCTCTCTCTGTCTTCCTGTGGATCAGGTGAGCAGATCTGATCGTCTTAATCATTGTTTGTTAAATCATTAAAAGTCTGTTTGTCTGGTGTCAACATGTGATCTTCTTTTTCTTCATAAACTCTCTAACCAGAAGAAAGAGGGCTTCCAGAGACTCGTCTGAGCCTGAAGAGAGAGCGGACAACAGGGAAGAGGTGAGAGTAGATGCTTACGTAATTAATCGAGTACAAAAGAAAACATATTACACTCAATTTATAATGAGGAGTATTTCATGGTCTTTAAAGGTGGGGTAGGTAAGTTTGAGAAACCGGCTCGAGATACACTTTTTGTTATATTCCATGGAATGCTCTTAACATCCTGATAGCAATGAATATCTTAAAGGGGACCTATCATGCAAAATGCACTTTTGTACGTCTTTTATACATGAATATGTGTCCCCGGTGTTCCAGGGAACTCACCAAGTGTCAGAAAACACAACCCTCTCTATTTTCCTCCATACCCAAATCTCTAAAAAAGGGGCTGCATCGGATCTGATAAAAACTGATCCAGATTTGAACACTGTCCTGACGTCAGGACGGTGGCGCTACGGCTATTGGGCCAACTCCACCAATCAGGAGGAGACAGCCACGGCCATTGCCGTTCGAAAGCGCTGGAGACGCTGTAGTACATATGCCAGGCCAGTAGATGGTGCTGTTCTCACTGAATCTGCCCTTGCAAAAACAGAGCTAAACATTTTCAAATAGGTGGCGAAGTCCCTCCCCTTCCGGTGGACCTCCATGGGACCTTATTTCGGAAAAATTATGTATTGAAGTCAATGGAGAGAGAAAGATTATCTTTCGATCCCGTTTGAATTGTGCCACGAATTACACATATGATGTTTGTCAATTTAAAAGATAATTTTGCAAGTCAAAAAAAAAAAAAATGTGTCGTAAAACTGTGAAGTAACACATTTGTTTGTGTGAAACGCTCAATGAACTACATCTCTGGTCAACAACACACGTCACCAAGATGGCCGTCACTACTGTCTTGTCAACACAACTACCCTCACTATCACCACAATGAAACACGTCCTGAAGAATGTCATGCAAAGCTGCCTGCCTGCCTTCCTTTGATTCTCTCTGAACTGCCTGGTCGTTTTAATGTTTAATGTCAACCATTTGTGCAGATAGCATGAAGTAGAGAAGATCGCCGATGCTAACGTTAGCGTTAGCATTTCTCCCCCGGGCTTAAATGGTGTATTATAGAATGATCACACCGGTGACAGTACTATTCAAAGGGTTCACGAAATATGACTACTACTCTTACTGTTTAACATTTTGGGTTACTTAATGTTACTTCATGTTAAGGCTAATAAAAATGACAAGGCTGTAATGCTAACTAACGTGCTAGCTACTAGCTAGGTAGCTAACTTGATCAAGCCACTCCTGGTCGTTTAATCAGACGGGAAGCAAAAGAACGAGCAAGACCCATTGCTGGTATAATAACAACCTGGTACTAAGCACAAAACAATTGTGACATCACTTACGCGACTCTGGGATTTGTAGTCTTTCTAGTTACGTATTTTTCATAGTCTTATATTTCAAGTTTTACGACAAACTGTGACTTTTTTGACATGGAAATGATTTTTTAAGATTGACAAACATCATATGTGTAATTCATGGCACAATTCAAACGGGATCGAAAGATAAGTTTTCTCTCCCCATTGACTTCAATGCATAATTTTTCCGAAATAAGGTCCCATTACCCGGAAGTAAGTGGGCGTGACTTCGCCACTCTATTGAGCGAAATGAGGCATGGCTAAAATGCATGATCTGTTTGGTATTTTGAAAAAAAAAAAGTATAAATATGCCTTATATAGGTATGGTCCTACACTATATTATTCAAATATAGCATGATCGGTCCACTTTAAGTGCTTTGACAAAAAATCCATTAAAAAATATCATCTGTGGAAGCCGTAGTACTGTAAAAAGTACGACCAATCATTTTAGCCGGCCCGGCTAAACATGGGACCTTAAATGTAAAAATGCATAGTTTAACTTAAAGTGTTTTCCTCCCTGCAGTGTGTACCTGATCAGCCGGAGCAGCAGGATGACCTTCAGTATGCCAGCGTTCACTTCAACAACCGGGCAGATCCTCTTTACTCCAACATGAGAGCAGCTCAGCCCCTCAGACACACGGAGCAACAGGAAGTCTCGGAGTACGCTGCCGTCAAGTTCAGCAGTGCTGCCCCGAGGTGAGCAGATCCTCACACAGGAACATTGTTCACATATCATTTAATTCCTTTTGCATTATTATTAGTACTAAAATCTTATTATGTGTTTTTCAGGGCTAGAGGTCAGGACTCTGAAGAGGATCCCGCTGCATTGTACAGCACGGTCAACAAATCCAGATAAACACAGCAGGCGATGCATTTGAAGGATGATACTTCAGTTTTTTTTACAATCACATTTCTATGTACACAGGGTAATGTGGATTTTTTAAATACATGTCTCAGGGTGGACCTCTCCAAGAATGAGGCGATGAGTTTTCAGCCTAGTTTTTATTAATCTGAATGGCTCAAATGTAAAGATTTTGTTAAGTATTTCACAGCTTAATGTACTGAATTGTTAATATTTCTTGTGTAACATGATTTTTGCCACAAAAAAATTACAAAATGTAGAGATGTTGCAACAAGGGATCTGATCCCTAACTGCTGGCTTGATGGAAAATGTAGATATTACTAAAGAGTTATAATTTACTGATAACAAACCATTTCCATTGTTTTGTAAGTACATTTATCAACTTTATTATATATGTTCTTCTTCTTGTCTAGACTGAAATATCATCAACTACTTGTTTGTGTTATTTTGTATCCATTCCAAAATACATGTTGTTATTGAAAAGCACATTGGGATATCAGAGAGGAACATGTGTTGCTGATGTAGTTGCAGTTTCATTCTGCTGCCACTAGGTGTCAGTAAAGAGCCGTATTTCACTGATGGAAAACCATTACCAAGAGCCTGTAAAGCACATTTATCTTTGGTGTGTGTACGGCCTTAATGTTCACACATTCTTATTCTGACATCTTTTTATGTAAATATAAAAGTTCCATTATCACCAATTAAAATAGTTAATTTCTTTGTTACTCTTTAAGTTCATAACCATCACAACTTGTTGCATTTATCTATTTTGCTTTGTTGTTACACCTGTTCTTCTGACCCTAGTCTTTTGCTCTGTACTTCATGTGTTTACCTTTCTCTCGTTCTGTTCTGGTTTGAGTTCATCAATAAAGGTTGAAATGTTCATAACTCTCGTCCACACTAATGCTAATGATAGCATTAGTGTCACTAATCTGTCATTTCTAAATAGAATAATTGCACGTGTTCACTTGAAATAAAAACACTGGAAACAATATTAAACTAAACAAGCTGCAGAGTTTGTGAGGATACATCAGAAGGTATAAAGAACACAGTGAAGGCTGACACACTGAGTGAGAGAAGTGTGTGAGTGAAGTGTGTGAGTGAGAGAAGTGTGTGAGTGAAGTGTGTGAGTGAAGTGTGTGAGTGAAGTGTGTGAGTGAGAGAAGTGTGTAAGTGAAGTGTGTGAGTGAGAGAAGTGTGTGAGTGAGAGAAGTGTGTGAGTGACTGAGTGAAGTGTGTGAGTGAGAGAAGTGTGTGAGTGAGAGAAGTGTGTGAGTGAAGTGTGTGAGTGAAGTGTGTGAGTGAGAGAAGTGTGTGAGTGAGTGAGAGAAGTGTGTGAGTGAAGTATGTGAGTGAAGTGTGTGAGTGAAGTGTGTGAGTGAGAGAAGTGTGTGAGTGAGTGAGAGAAGTGTGTGAGTGAAGTGTGTGAGTGAGTGAAGTGTGTGAGTGAGTGAGTGAAGTGTGTGAGTGAGTGAGAGAAGTGTGTGAGTGAAGTGTGTGAGTGAGATAAGTGTGTGAGTGAGAGAAGTGTGTGAGTGAAGTGTGTGAGTGAGAGAAGTGTGTGAGTGAGTGAGAGAAGTGTGTGAGTGAAGTGTGTGAGTGAAGTGTGTGAGTGAAGTGTGTGAGTGAAGTGTGTGAGTGAGTGAAGTGAGAGAAGTGTGTGAGTGAAGTGTGTGAGTGAGTGAGTGAGTCAGTGAGAGAAGTGTGTGAGTGAAGTGTGTGAGTGAGAGAAGTGTGTGAGTGAGAGAAGTGTGTGAGTGAAGTGTGTGAGTGAAGTGTGTGAGTGAGAGAAGTGTGTGAGTGAGTGAGAGAAGTGTGTGAGTGAAGTGTGTGAGTGAGTGAAGTGTGTGAGTGAGTGAGAGAAGTGTGTGAGTGAGTGAGAGAAGTGTGTGAGTGAAGTGTGTGAGTGAGTGAAGTGTGTGAGTGAGTGAGAGAAGTGTGTGAGTGAGTGAGAGAAGTGTGTGAGTGAGAGAAGTGTGTGAGTGAGAGAAGTGTGTGAGAGAAGTGTGTGAGTGAAGTGTGTGAGTGAAGTGTGTGAGTGAAGTGTGTGAGTGAGTGAAGTGAGAGAAGTGTGTGAGTGAAGTGTGTGAGTGAGTGAGTGAGTGAGTGAGTGAGTGAGTGAGTGAGTGAGTGAGTGAGTGAAGTGTGTGAGTGAAGTGTGTGAGTGAGAGAAGTGTGTGAGTGAGTGAGAGAAGTGTGTGAGTGAAGTGTGTGAGTGAAGTGTGTGAGTGAGAGAAGTGTGTGAGTGAGTGAGTGAAGTGTGTGAGTGAAGTGTGTGAGTGAGAGAAGTGTGTGAGTGAGTGAGAGAAGTGTGTGAGTGAAGTGTGTGAGTGAAGTGTGTGAGTGAAGTGTGTGAGTGAAGTGTGTGAGTGAGTGAAGTGAGAGAAGTGTGTGAGTGAAGTGTGTGAGTGAGTGAGTGAGTCAGTGAGAGAAGTGTGTGAGTGAAGTGTGTGAGTGAGAGAAGTGTGTGAGTGAGAGAAGTGTGTGAGTGAAGTGTGTGAGTGAAGTGTGTGAGTGAGAGAAGTGTGTGAGTGAGTGAGAGAAGTGTGTGAGTGAAGTGTGTGAGTGAGTGAAGTGTGTGAGTGAGTGAGAGAAGTGTGTGAGTGAGTGAGATAAGTGTGTGAGTGAAGTGTGTGAGTGAGTGAAGTGTGTGAGTGAGTGAGAGAAGTGTGTGAGTGAGTGAGAGAAGTGTGTGAGTGAGAGAAGTGTGTGAGTGAGAGAAGTGTGTGAGTGAGAGAAGTGTGTGAGTGAAGTGTGTGAGTGAAGTGTGTGAGTGAAGTGTGTGAGTGAAGTGTGTGAGTGAAGTGAGTGAGTGAAGTGAGAGAAGTGTGTGAGTGAAGTGTGTGAGTGAGTGAGTGAGTGAGTGAGTGAGTGAGTGAGTGAGTGAGTGAGTGAGTGAGTGAGTGAAGTGTGTGAGTGAAGTGTGCGAGTGAGTGAAGTGTGCGAGTGAGTGAAGTGTGTGAGTGTGTGGGTGTTTCTCAATGTCGAGGACGCTTGCTTGGTAGGACACGTCTTCCGAGTCCCTTGCTTCAGAAGCAAGAATCCTTCCTAGCCTCGGAAAACGAAGAATGGTGGAACAGGCTAACAGGTGTGCGTCATATGCGAGGCCCCGCCATTAGGATGTGTGTTCTCTTGTCAGTGAGGAGAGGTGGTCTGTTCACCACGAACTGGTCTCCTGAACTCCCTTTCTTTTAATGTAGAGGGTTTTCTTGTGGACATCAATCAACTTCTTTGTTATTTTGTCACTGAAGCCACACGGAGACGAGAGCAGCAGCTATGAGTTTAACAGCGAGTGGATTTGTTGTCTTCCTTCTCTCTCTGCCAGGTAATGTACATCCACATGTTTTTTTATCCACATTATATTTAGCTTTTCTAAACACTTTGACACTTTACATAAATATCCCATTCATTTATACAGCAAACATACACAGGCATATATTAGTGACCAAACAAGATGCACGGAAATTCATTTGGAGAAAATACAGAGAGACAACAGAAAGAAGTGAGACTGGCAGGTGGTTAGTCAGCGGACGACCAGACCCAGGAGCAATGACTGAACTGGCTTTTCCAAGTGTCAAAGGTATGATCCTCTTCTGCATCTTCTACATATGGACAGTGTTCTGTAACTTGACTTCATGTGTTGTCAGGCGCAGCCAACAATAAGGTCTACAGATCATAATACAGAGCACTTCTATATGGAAACTCACTACTACACCATCCATTCCTGCCTCCCTTTATCCTCTCGTGCATTCATTTGTCTTATTCCAGGTATTCTTGCTCATATTCTGATTTGGCAGAAACACACCTGAGTAGAAATGGTTAAACTCATAAAATGTTAATGTGGCGGCACGTGGTAGTGTTTGTTTAAACTCCTATTTAAGATCTACATTTAACCAAAAGCCAGACCACGCCACCTTGGGAATTGCACCCAAGGAAATAATTATTCAAAGTACCAATAAGGCATCAGGTTCGTAATACTGAGGGGCAGGAGAGGTGGTTCCAATTCATCACATGTTTAATTTCAAGTATTAAATATCATTAAAAAACACATTAAGATCATCATACACACTGAACATAAAGGGGGACATCTTAATGAAGGGATGCTGAGGCTTACCAGTGGATGGAGGTGACGAGGGGTGAGAGGGATCCCCACAAAGTAAATGAGGGCACCCGTGATCACTAAACACTCACACACGAAGGAACACCAACACCAGGGGGAGCCAACACACCTTTGGCTCTCAGCAACTAAAGAGGGGCCAACAAAACACATTACTGGGGGAAACAGTCAAAACTAATTAATACACAAACCAACACATAAGATCAGTATAAACACAATAAGAAATCAATAATACTAAGAGATATAACTAATATCGACTGAAATAAACAAAACAAGTTTAGAACAGGGTCGAAAACAACTAAACAAAAGAAACGGAAATTAACCCAACAATCTACTTAATATTGAACTAAACAAACAAAACAAGCTTAACTCAACAGGGTCAATGAAATAACTAATCATAAACAGAAATTAATCGAAAAGTCCACTATAACAATGTTTAAAATGTGGTCATGTAGTGTAATGCAGAGTGACACAAAGAGGCAATACAGACGATGCAGGCCAAGAGCAACACCCGCCAGGCAGCAGTGTAACGGTGAAGCACAGACGTTGAGGCAAAACAGCCGTCTTTCTGTATTAGGCTTCCAGCGCAGGTGATGTTACGATAATAATACTACATTCATATTATTCAGGAAGGATGAGACAAGCAAAAAGCGTACCTACCGATCAGGCTAAGTTAAGACACACAGCAGGAGAGCTTCGTTCAGCAGCGGCAGCAGACATGGGCTGCAGGATCCCTGCAAGGGTCTACAACCAGCAATAAACATTTAGTATGTATGCTACTTGTCATGCTAAGCATACAACAAACGGCAGCCACCGCAAACTCACCGGTGCCAGCGGAGAAAGCACGTAAACGGAACCCGGAAGTGGCCTTCGTGCCAAAGAGCAAGAGGGAGCAAGAGCGACACTGACCCCTCTTTAGAAAGATTGCCCCGTGTTGATTGGGCTGAACAGTTTATCCTCAACATGGGCTGCGTTTCACTTCTCTTATTTTTCATTTCCTCGCTCCTCGGTCTCGGTCTCACCGGAAGTTGATTTCTCTGCGCCATCTTGAGTAGCGTCCCAATGGCCTTATTTTTGCCGGAGGAGCGAGGAGCTATAATGGAGGAGCTATAATCGAGGAACCACCAGACCATCCTTCGATGAAATCCTCAGACACTCGCCCCGCCCCCTTACTGTGTATCGCTCATTGATTGGACGATGCAGCGCATGCACTGATCTGATGCTTCTTGACATGAGAGCAGAGTTTCCCAGCGGAGTGAAGAAAACACATGAAACTCACGGGACTCACTCCTCAGTTCATACCGTGTTCTGTTTCAATGAATGCATCATTCAGTTACAAATATGTGATATATCTGAACAACAAAGTGGTCAAAAATCATTTTATTCATTTATTGGAAACATTTTCATGATCGCTTTTTTCGTTTTACATTTTCATTTATTGTCATTTCCATTCAGTCAGTCATTAAGTGCTATTTAAAATGTTGATTTGCTACATATCCACACAAACAAACAAAGTGTGCAATCCAATGAATGTTAATCTAACTGGGTTTTGATAGATAACATATCTCTTTTTCTTCTCTCAATTATTTTATTTCTATTGTGCACTCTAATCAATATTAATCAAACTATTGTTCGTTTATACATTTTAAGAATGGCGTTTATCTTTTTTGAGAATGAGTTCTTATTTGATTTAATTTATTTGGGTCTACAACAGATGATACAAATGTTTGTGTCAGTAAATGTCAGACGAACAGCTGTGCAGCGTCATCACAAACGGACGTCGCTTCACGTGACGCTCCGGAGGAAAGGAC